TTTATATTATTATTATTATTATTATTATTTAAATATTTTATTTATTAAATTTTTTACCAATTTTAATAATTTGTTTTGGATTTAGTACAATGACAATATGAAAGACCATTTTTGAAAGCAAAATATTTTATATCGCACTTTATCATGCTCAAAATATTACTGCTTTTCCTGTATTTTTGATCAATTAAATGCAGCTTTGGTGAGCATACAAGACTTCTTTTATTAAAAACATTTTTAAAATCTTACTGACTCCAAACTTTTGAACAATAGTGTATTTTAATTATTTTATATTAGATTATAATTAAAATGTTATAATTCAAACTCACATCAACATGTACATTTAGTTTTTATTGTGTTCATAAAACCTGAACTCAAATTTATTTTATACATATTTTATTATTATTATTATTTATTTTTTTTTTATAATTTGTTTTGGATACAACAATGACTATAAAAGCCAATTATTTAATGTTAATAGCAAAATATTTTATATCACGTATAATAATGCTCAAAATATTACTGTTTTTCCTATATGTTTGATTGAATACAAACATTAAGACATTTTAAAAAATGTTACTGATCCCAAACTTTTGAACAATTGTATAATTTTATTTTTAATAATATTTTAATTATTTACTATTCTGTCAAATTATAAGTTTAATTATATAATTTAAACAAAAATTAATATGTACATTTATTTTCAAAACATGAACTCAAATACATTATATATATATATTTATTTGTAATAAATGTTTCATTTATTTAATTTGTACTTATTTATTTATTTTAATAATTCGTTCTGGATTCAATACGATGACGATATAAAAGCCAATAGTTTAATTTTGAAAACAAAATCTTTGTCATGCTTAATTTTTTATTTTTTTTTTATTATTATTATTTGGGGATCCTTGGCATCTAATCATTTGAAAATCCATGCTAGGTTGGAACACCACCTGATGTCCAATGCACACACAAAACCAGCTCTAAAGCAGCAGTAAGAACATCTGAGGACTAGACAAATAGGTAGCGCAGTTTTCCAGCAACAAATTGAGATCTTATTTAAAAGCATATGGACATCAAAGACATCTTTAATCTCAAAGGCACAAAAATAGAGTCAGGCGCACACAGGACGCCGGCAGAACAAGGCCAGGACGTTGGTGTTGTGTGAGCATAACTGGTGGCAGTGTGCAGTTACCACTTAAGTCATTACAGCGGCTGTGAACATTTTTTGTACACCCACACTGTTCTTTCTGTGTGTCTCCTAATGAAATCTCACACAGACATGCCTTTGGAACTCCTAAAATCTCTAATGAGATTTGCCTCCTAGTATAAACTAATTACCGTGGGGTGTTTATACTTTTCCTTGAAAGCTGTAGCTGTGTTGGATGACAGGCACACAACTCTGAAGTGATGCTAGTGATTTGTTAGTTGTTAGCAAGCATTGCTATTACTGTTGCTTGTATTCTACTCATGAATTGATATTCAATTCTAAAAAAGTACAAAAGTTTTTTTTTCATTTAATGCAGTCAAAATGTGGCAGGATTACCTGAATCCATGGGTATCGATCACCCTCGGCTGCACTCCAGGCATTGACAAGGCCCTTCTTGTTGAGTCGGGCGAAGTACGGAAACCACTTCTGCAGGCCGAACAGAGCTCGATGTGTGGAGGAAGCTGTTACCTGCTGGTTCGAAATGATCCCCCCTTCCATCCCTAAAGGCCCAGAACATTCTGAGAGGACAGACAGAGAAAAATCACATGTAACATCTCTTAAGTATTCTCATTTTAAAATACTCAGTTGTTTAATTCTCATAGACAATTAAATGGAGAGATTTTGCTCAAGTAATCTTCTTAAATGCTTGTCCTCAGAAAAAAAGTCCTGTATTCTGTAAAGAGAGTTTCAGGAAATATCTAAACAATGTCTCGTATTCCAAAGTATACTATCAAAAGTTGAATAGTTCTATAAATTAAACGTTTCATATTAAAACTAAATGTTCATTTTATAACTCCATAATCTTACTGTGTCAACAATTATCTCATTTGTAGGACTGTTTCCATTTTTAAAACAAATATCGGTAACTATTCTGGCAGAGATTTCGTTGTGTTGTGCTAATTTCGTTATGTTGTGACTTGTTTACATTGTGTTGCGACTTGTTTCTGTCGTGCTGTACTAATTTCGTTGTGTTGTGGCTTGTTTCCATTGTGTTGTGCTAATTTCGTTGTGTTGTGCTAATTTCATTGTGTTGTGGCTTGTTTCCGTCGTGTTGTGGAGATTTCATTTTGTGCTAATTTCATTGTGTTGCTGCTTGTTTCTGTCGTGCTGTGCTAATTTCGTTGTGTTGTGGCTTGTTTCCATCATGTTGTGGAGATTTCATTGTGTGCTAATTTCGTCATGTTGTGGAGATTTCATTGTGTTGTGCTAATTTCGTTGTGTTGCGGCTTGTTTCCATTGTGTTGTGCTAATTTCATTGTGTTGTGGCTTGTTTCCGTCGTGTTGTGGAGATGTAATTTTGTGCTAATTTAGTTGTGTTGTGCTAATTTCGTTGTGTTGTGGCTTGTTTGTGTTAATTTCGGTTTGTTGTGGCTCGTTTCCATTGTGTTGTGTTAATTTCATTGTGTTGTGGCTTGTTTCCATTGTGTTGTGTTAATTTCGTAGTGTTGTGTTAATTTCATTGTGTTGTGTCTTGTTTCCGTCGTGTTGTGGCGATTTCATTTTGTGCTAATTTTGTGCTAATTTCGTTGTGTTGTGCTAATTTCGTTGTGTTGTGGCTTGTTTCCGTCGTGTTGTGGAGATTTCATTGTGTGCTAATTTCGTTGTGTTGCGGCTTGTTTCCATTGTAGTGTGCTAATTTCGTTGTGTTGTGGAGATTTCTTTGTGTTGTGCACAATTACAGTGCACTGTTTTGCAGTGCATTGTGTAGTTCGATTTCTGAATGAATGATTCTTATAAATCGGTTCTTACTGAATCAAAACACTACAGCGCCACCTGTGTAATTCGATTTCTAAACGGATGATTCTTATGCGTCATTCTTTTTATTAAACCAAAAAGCTCTACCAATTTAGTATGATTCTAGAACAAATGACTCTCGTGAGCTGGTTCGTTTTAATGAATCAATTGTGTACAGCTTACAAATTAAAGCTTATTAATTTAAATATGTCTACATAGTTTTTATTCGATTATTTTAGTTGTCGTTATTTTAGTATATTTAGTTAAACTATTCAAAAATTAGAAATGTTTTTTTGGCAACAAGTAGAAATAAAATAAGCTTAAGTTTTTTGTATATTTTATTTTATTTCATTTAATGTTTATTTCAAGTAACAAATATGTTTTTTACGATTTTAGTTTTATTTAATTACAGTATAAAACCCCATTGGATTGCATATGCCACCTCTAAAAGATTAAAAAGATATTTTAAAAAATTTAAACTTTAAAAAGTAAACAAAAAATTATGCAATCATTTATTTAAATTAAAATATCATCATAATCATATCATTTGCAAAAGTCTCCTGAATTATAAAATACCATTTTTTTTCTTTATTTCTTACAAATATAGTTAATAAGGGAAGATTCAGCAATTTAAAGGAATACCACAAACGCAGTGTTCTTTGGTCTCGAGTGATAATATGATAACGTTATTCTTGCTCTCGCTGGTTCTCGCCACAGAATCCGTATCGACCCCTGAAATGCCATCTTCCTCTGTTTTGTCCTCAAAAACATCTGGCAGGTCTGAAGTTTTGGATGCAATGTCCTTGGATTCGTCGATGGATATCGTGTCCTTGTTCTCACACACAGAGATGCTGTCTTCACTCTCAAAGCCTAAGATGTCCTCCCTAGTGTCATTGCTGTCGTCGGTTTGTCCACCTGCGGATATGGCGCCTGCTCGCTGGTGCTCCGGGGAGAACATTAACGGAGTACTTGAATTACCTCCGCCGAACGATCGCACAGACTGGGGAGATTCAAAAAGGAGCCGCAGGCTGCTCAGACTTGCCCGTAGGGAGCTTCTGCTGCTGTGTTTGGACAGCATGATTGCAAATCAAACCTTCTTGAGGGGTGTAACTTTATATTTTCGGTCCTCAGAGCCGTGTAAGTAAGAAAGCATGACAGTAATCTTCAACTAATTCAATTATATGTTCATAGATGTGTTAAGCTACAGCTGGGACCTTCTTGTTTTGAGTCAGCACAAAAAATACCAGCAAACAAGTCATAGTTACACAAATATTGGTATCTCTCAAGCATACGGTGAGCTAGGTTTCTGGCACACTTTCTGGAGACTGAACATCTAGGAAATATTGCATGGACAAAAATAAGCAAAATAGAATCAGTTCCCCCTCCTGAACAAGCGATGTCAATTCATATTGGCCTCATTCATTCAGATTCTCCCAAAAAAGCTGTTGAAGGCAGATGGCTCCCATCCCCAAGCCAATACACGCTGAATCCGGTTTTAGTTTGAGTTTGCTCCTCAAGAGATGCCGTGGTTTGATAGTGAATATTTAAGCGCATGGGTTTAAATAAATGAGGTGATGAAGTCGATTCGCACTTACTGTACTGACAGTTCCGCCCCATGTATTCGCCGGGACACTGGCAGGTGTAGTTTGCTTGCAGGTCTGTGCAGCTGCCTCCATTTTTGCATGGATTTTTCTCACACTCGTTAACATCTGAAAACACAAGCAGACATTCACAGACACATCTTGAAATTATTAAAAGCGACAACCTGGTAAAAGCTACAAAAGGTCAAATATTGTTTCTCATTATGGTTGATTTTTCCACAGTGATGAAAAACCTCTCTACTATCCTACCAGTTTGCACTGAAGGGTGCTTATTTATGCATTAAATACAGAGAGGGAATATATTATTGCGTGATAGCAATTACTAAGTGAAAAAGATAAATCCTAAACCCTATTTTTTTTTCAGATACTAAATACTGTTGCTCACAGAAGACTTCAATATTGAAGTATCAACTTCGTCTCAGATGTTTCTCCTCAGATTCCTTTAGATGGTGATCCAATAGCAGACAATTTGTTCTTGGGAAATATGATGAGAAATCTTTGAGCTCAAATTGAGACTTTTGACTGCAGAATTATCTTTACAAATCTAAGCACAGTTTGAGGCATTGCTGAGATCTCTTCTGAAAGAACACTTCTTTAGGAATCACTAAAAACGAATTTTCAAAGTTGTAATTAAGCATTACTGGAGTACATTTACAAAAAAATGCCATCTCAGTTAAATCGGTCTGATATTCTGTTCTCTACACTCAAAAACATGTTTTCACAAACTATTGAACACAGTGAATTAAATGTGAAATTATAAGTCTAAAAACTGAAATAGTATTTTTTTTGTAAATCTTACTCCAATAATATATATATATATATATTTTACAGTTTAGAAAGCCTCAGGTCCCCTTTCAGAGTAAATCTACAGGATTTTCACGTTTTTTTTAAACATGAGGAAGTGGTAATAGTGGTAATGGTGACACAATCATGCCACAAACGTATTTCAGTTTAGTTCTGGAACATTACAGGGGCCACATTCTATACTTTTCTTGCATTTCAGGGACCTTTCTTTCACTAAACATTTAATCATAACAAATTTGAATCCAGTAAATTTGATGTCAGTAAGTGTAAATCTAAATGAATTATTCAAGTTATTACTTGAATGCATCTTTAAAGGGGTCATATGATGTTGCTAAAAAGAACATTATTTTGTGTATTTGGTGTAATGCAATGTGTTTATGCGGTTTACGGTTAAAAAAACACATTATTTTCCACATAATGTACATTATTGTTTCTCCTCCAACAATACTACAGCGTGAATAAAAGTTATGCCTTCTTTCTTTGTGTGAACATTTGGGCGGTGTTATGCAAATCTTCCCACACAGTGACGTAGATATGTGGGGGCGTGTTAGAACGAGCCATTTTAGGTAGGTGTGGCTGACTCTTAACTTTTATAAAGAATATCTCTTTGGATTTGAGACTTTAGTCTTTGCAACTTTACAGATCTTCTTTATGCACCAAGAGCTTGTGAAAAATTGAAATCGCATCATATGACCCCTTTAAGGCCTAAAGTACATGTAATTAATGTCCTCTGTTATTAAATGCATTGATGTGAGTGGTCATATGTTAATTTGCTCATACTGTACTGGAGTTTAGTTTTGGATTGTACACTACCGTTTAAAGGTTTGGGGTCAGTAGTAAGGAAATAAATTAATACTTTAATTCAGCAAGGATGCATTAAACAGATCAAAAGTGACAGTGAAGACATTTATAATGTTACAAGAGATTTCTATTTCAAATAAATGCTATTCCTTTGAACTTTTTCTTAATTAAACATCCAGAATTAAAAATTAGAAATTAGAAATTTTATCATAGTTTCCACAAAAAAATATTAAGCAGCACAACTGTTTTCAACATCGATAATAAGAAATGTTTCTTGAGCAGCAAATCATGATTTCTGAAGGATCATGTGACACTGGAATCACAAAAATAAATTACATTTAAAAAAATATTCAAATAGAAAGCAGTTCTTTGTACTTGTAATAATATTTCACAATATTGACTGTATTTTTGATCAAATAAATGCAGCCTTGGTGAGCAGAAGAGACTTCTTTCAAAAACGTATCTGTAAATTATCTGTTGTAACTCTTTTATTTTAGATCAGAAACAAAAATACTGATATGACCCCCAAAACAAAGCATTGTTTTTTATGTTGCCGCATTCATAGTGAGGAACGAGCATTGGCATTCAGCTTCATGTCAGTCATGTGCATCCAAGCACCGCTGTCAGTTGCGATAGAAAGAACTCGTCCTGATTGGTGGGATTCCCACCGTGGGGCCAAAGTCAAGCCAGTCAAGCAAGTAAATTGGTGTGAGGAACAGAGGGGGGTTGGTCAGCTGTCACGCTGGATTTGTGGTACTGGACGCTTCTTCCACAGTAAAACACAGAGTCTATGACCTAATAAATGTTGCTTTGAGATGCCCAAGTTCCTTTTGGTTGCCTCTTCTCCTGATCAGAGCCCATCTGGGAAACGATATCCGTGCCATTATTGAATGCATGCTGATTTCAGCATTTCGTTTCTTATAGAAACGCAAATTCAATGTGCCGAGTTGTGCCAAGACAACTAGGTTAATGAAGTCAGTGGTGCTTTACACAGTATGATCACTCAGTCAGAACCAGCGGTGGATCCTGGCATAGTTGACATAGATGAGGATGGCAGCGCTCCCTGAGGTGGCATGTACTTCACTTCTTTATGGCTCTTCCACAACACTTTCACCAGATTGCACCAGCTCTCCTGTGAACCTCTTATTGAAAATGAATTGTGATCTAGCGGGTAACTTTTTCAGAGCAGCTCCCTGTGCTATAATTTTCATTCCCTCTTCTGCTGCTGTCTGTCTGTCTGCTCGTGGTAAGAGTCTTATTTAATACACAAGTTTCACAATTTGCGTTGAATTACTGAAATAAATGAACTTTTCCACGACATTCTAATTTATTGAGATGCACCTGTACATGTGCAGTTTTTCTGGGTCTATAAAAAAAATAAAAATAAAAGGAAAATATATATTTTTAATTTAACTGGAGTCATTTTTTTCACTTAGAGTTTTGTTTTAATTTAATTTTGTTTACTTTATTTTTAAATTTAATAATTAACATTTTAATCATTTTTATTACAAATTTTAATTCCGTTTTTCCTTTTCTAACAAATCACTTTTGCTTCTTAATTATAATTTTTTTTAAATTCAATTTAATAATTCTTTGTGTCTGATTCTTTTTTTATTTATTTATTTAAATTATTTACATTTATTACAAGTACAATTTCATTTTTTCCCTTTCTTACAAATTACTTCAACTTGTAATTACTTCAACTGCTATCTGGTTTCTTGGTCCATTAAAAATTGTATATATATATTTATTTATTTATTCATTTATTTTATTTTTCCCCTGGAGTCATGTGACATCACAGTTTTTTCATTTATATATATTTTTTTATTATAATATTTATTTATTATATTTATCTATTTAAAAAAAATTATAAATTAAAAAATATATATAATACTTCAGGACCTGAACTGAAGCCATGCGACATCACAGTCATGCAACATTTTTTCATATATAGATTTTATTATATATATTATTGAATTTAATGATTATATGATTCTTTCTTTTTTCATTGATTTTTATTTTATTAAAGACTTTTATTTCCTTTTTTCATTTTCTTGGTGGAGGTCTAGCCATTTGACATCATGTATTATTTTCATTTATAGTTTACATTTAATATAATATCAGTTTAGTTTAATATAATATACTACCAATTTATTTGAGCTTTTTTTAATTCTCTGTTTTTTTTATATCTTTTCTAACAAATCTTACTAGTGACATCCCTGGTTTTTTTTATACATGTCACACTCAGCTAAACATCCTACATGAGGTCAAAATGCTGTGAAGTCTAATTATTATGACAAAAACTGAGCAGGTCATGGGGCCCGGGGGCAGATAATGAGACCGAATGTCATTCTCTAAAAAATCCGACCAAAAAATTGTCTGAGATTTCTAAGGCCTTTGCTCAGTCTCTTTTCACCAGTCAGCCCCCTGCTACTAACTGAGCCTCAATGTCTTATCTTAGCTGTACTTTCACTCCGGCATTAATTATAGACTACGCTTAGAAGTCAATTCAGGAGACAGTGCAAATTAAGGTCACGGATGCACATGTGTGATGTGTATATTAGGCAGTGCAGAACAGAGCTGAATATTCTTTCTCCCATTCCATGAATAATGCAGGCGGTGTGAGGTAACCACAGAAACAAGAGAATCAGGACAAAAACAAACCAAATAAAAACAAGCTCTGACAGCAAACAGATAAAAAATAGCTCTTTGTTAATTACGTTCCTGTCACTTTGCTAAGTGTTCTGGCACAATATGCTGTAGAAGTTTTTTTGAGACGAACTGAGGCAGAAAAACATTGATATTCACATTAATGTGCATTGTGCTTCTACACTAGTGAAACTAAAGCCATAAAATACACTACAGTAAGTGAGCTATCTTGACATATGTTCTTCCATCACTGTGGCAGAAGTCACTTCTCAAGTGGACGATAGTTTCATTCAATCTGTATAATTAAACGATGTGTTAACTTATTCTGGTAGCTACTGTAGATATAAACATGTTGACTGCGGAGTTGTGGCAACAATGAAAATTCAACATGCACGTATTTGCATGGTTTTAAGGTGCACTATATTCACTATACGTATTTTTGAACCCAATTTTTTATATGTATAGTTTTCATATGTACCGTATTGGCCCGAATATAAGACGACCCTGATTATAAGACGACCGTGTTTTTTCAGATGTATTTCCAAGAAAAAAACATCGTCTTATATTCGGGTCAATACGGTATATTCTTATAAATATATCTTTTATATTTATAAAAAAAAATCAGATGCATATTTTTTGATATTTTTAAAAACATTTCCCCTAATTTTACCGTTTTTATGAATTTAGTCATTTAACAAACTTATAAACGGGAACAAAAAAGGCTATTATATTGATTATATTATATTATATTACATTAGATATAAAAAAAAAATGTAAAAAAAAAATATATATATATATATATATTCAAAACGTTTTACATTTAATTTTAATTAATTTAATTTTAGTGTGTGTGCATATGTGAATAATAAAAAAATTAATAATAAACATTAAAAGAATAAAAATTATATATGTAGCATTTTATTTAATATCATTAATTGTGTTGTGCGTGTATATATAATATGATTGAAAATAAATATATCAATTTAAAAAGTAAAAAAAAAAAAAGCAATTTAAAAAATTTTTAAAAATCACTTTAAAGTGTGTGTGTGTATACGCAGAATTTAATGATAGAAAATAAAAAGTTTTATTTCATATACACAAGTTTTCTTATAATTAAAATATTGAAATAAATGTCTCTAAAAATGACAAGGTTTCTTACTGTGTTGGCAGTGGACACCATCGAAGCCAAGCGGACACCTGCACAAATACCTGACAAAAGTGTCGCCGCGGTAGGTCTCACTGAGTTCACACACCCCTCCGTTGTGACAGGGGTTTGGGCGGCAGGGCCCTGAATGACAGAAACACACAGTATCTGAAATCTGCAGGGTTCATTTGAAGTGCTATTTAAAATCCTACTAGAGTTTATTGCAGGTTGATTTGTAAGTGAACTTGATGCTCAGTGCGCTTGATGACATGCACTTTCCCCACACGGTCATTATTATTTCATGTTTTTCAGCTCAGTCTGAACATCACACGTAATACTGCATTAGCTATAAAAGACGACTCCAGAAAGTGTGAGTTTCTAATGAACGCTAAGCAGATGTTTAAATATGAATTAACTAGTGAATGGAAATCGAGGCTGACAATCATTTATATTCACGGCTCATAAGCCGAACATGAGCCATCTGTTTAATATGCCATTCATATCTGGAGTCTCAATGAGCAAAGCGCTCTTGAACCTTTCTTAAAATGAGGAAAACAGCCTACAAATAAACAAACTCACCAATTACAGATTGCTCTTCCCAGCCTGATGCTGTTAAAAAAGCAGAACACACAATTTGTGAGATTCTGACATATTCTATCTGCACTATTAAAAAGAAAGATTCCAATTAGATGAAACTGTAGAATCTTCTACAGCTCCACTACAAACTTTTTATTATTTAGTTCTTTAAAAACATAATTTCCTGCTCTAATTTTTACAGGGGAAAAATGTAAAAATGCTAGAATAAATGCATGGTATTCACTCCAAAGATGAAAACTACAATGAAATATATATAGTTTTATACAATATAATATACAATATACAATACGATAACAACACAGAGGAACGCTATCACTAGAACTACTATCAGAATGATTTTTTCCAGCTGATGAATGATAAAATCACTGACAGCCAAACAGAATCGACCTTTAAAGAGCTCAAGCATTTAAAGCACAACAGAGTGTTATTGTGCGTCGGTGTGGATGCTGATATCTTTATTGTTTTAGTTATCTTTTGTTTAGTTATTCTTGGTGTGAACATGTGAAGTTAACTTATATGTTGCATTATACTGTATGTAATTATGAGGTAAAATACTCAAATATATAGTTTTTGCAAGTAAAAACTATGAATTACTATATGATTTATGGTGAAAAACTCTAAAAATACATTCAGTCACATTTGACACATTACATATGATTATATTTAATCTAAATAATTTTGTTTTATCTCATTTTTGTTATATAATGCTCATTAAGTGTTTGTGTTAAATTTTCTATATTTATAAGTCAAAACTCTAATCTGAAGAATTTACACTAAATTTAATTTAGAATTTATTCTAATTTACACTGTTAAAAATTAAGGCTCTGTATTGGCATTTTCGGTTCTATGAAGAACCTTTAACATCCCTGAAACCTTTCCAGTCCACAAAATGTTCTTTAGTAGAAAAAATGCTTCTGATTAATTCTGATTAATATTCTAAGAAATAATGGTTTATGGCTTTTAAGATCTGTTCACAGAAAGGTTCTTTGGTTAAATAAAATAGTTCTTTCTATTGCATACAGAAAACCTCCATTTGGAACCTTTATTTTTAAGAGTGTATGAAATGCCAAACTTAATCTCCAAAAACCCATAACTCAAAATATGATTCTTGATAAGGATTCTTTGCTGAATCTAAGAATCTTTGGAGAAGCTATACGTATAAGAGTGTGGGGAGATATAACATCTAAATCATGTGAACTCATGAATGATATGTTGTCAGATAATGAAGAATACTCATTATAGCAATGCAAAAGAAGAACCGTTTTTGGTTCCCCAATGAACTTTTCAGTAAACAGTTCCTAAAAAAAACAACTTTTTTCTTAGTGTGAAGAACATTTCAATATTCTAAAGAACCTTTTGTCCAGCGGAAAGGTTCTGTGGATGTTATACGTAGGTTCTTCATGGAACCATAAAGAACTTTTATTTTTAAGAGTGTAGGCAAACTCTTAATAAAGCTCAACTCAGAGACACATACTGTATCACTCCATAAATTTTAAAATGTGTTTTTAAATCGCAAGAAATAAAAATCTCATGGGCCTTTAGGGTTCTCAAATCCAAAAGGACAAAAACTCACAAGAAACATTTTCATCAGCTGGTGTACTGGGACAGTCAGCACCGTTCTCACACGGAACCGGTTCACATACTTCACCTACAAAACATGAAGAGATATAAACAGGAAATGAGCAGATCTTCTTTTCCAAAGACAAGTCACCTCTACAGCTTGGAAAAAGTGTGTTGCGGAGTGATGCACGAGAGTTTGTGATGCTATATCCACAGCCACGCTGTCATTTCGGCCTGAATTATTCAGCCACAGGAATCTGCAGAGTAACTTTGAGTGTTTACACAGGTGTCCATGACGGCCAAACTTTGGAATACACTTGCCGACTCTTAAAGATGCCGCGCAGATGTTTGGCGATGACAGAATGCCAGTGCTTCAGAAGTGTGTAAGGTTAAGTGAGGTGGAAGATTAGAGAAAATATTTTGTGTTAGGAAAGAAACACAGCTGACGGAGCTGTCTTGTTTCACACTGATCCGACACAACCTGAGGGCATGAAACTCGCAGAGGATTATAGTAGCGCGCTACACACTGCCTTGTGCTTTCCAGTACAATGAATTTCACACTGCCATGATATTTGTTGTGTTACTTGCATTAATACAAAAACACTGGCACTGGAAACTTGTGGCAATTTGATTATGAATAACACAGTGAATCGGGAAGGAAATGAATGACTCCTCAAAGCTTACAGTTTTAATGTACCATGGTAATTCAGTTTCCACTAAAAAAGTAGTTATTGCTGCTGGGATAAAACTGTGGTACTGTAACTTCAATAAGAAAAACGTAATACAGTTACTATGGTAATACCATAGTTGTTGAGTCAAGTACCATGGTTTGAAGTGGACTACCATTCAAAAGTCTTTTAAGGACTCATTAAATTGATCGTAATGACAATAAAGACATTTATAATGTTACAAAACATTTCTTTTTCAAATATATGCTGTTCTTTTGAACGTTCTATTCATCAAAGTTCCTAAAAATGTATCAGTTCCCACAAAATATTAAGCAGCACAACTCACACTAACAATAATAAGAAATGAGCAGCATATTAGAATGATTTCTGAAGGATCTTGTGACCGTGAAGACTGGAGTAATGATGCGGAAAATTCAGCTTTGCGTCACAGGAATAAATTACATTTAAAAATATATTCAAATAGACAACAGTAACTTTAATTTGTAATAATATTTCACAAAACAGCTGTTTTTAATATTTTTTGATAAAAATGCAGCCTTAGTAAGCATAAGAGACTTCTTTCAAAAACATAAAAAAATCATACCGACCCCAAACTTTTGAACGGCAATGTACTACTCAGAGAACAATGTAAATACCATGGTAAATGAATTTGATAATAATTCGATACCATGGTATATACAGTTTGAATGACATCCCATAATGCATTATATATTTTACAGTAAAAACTGTAATAAGATATTTTGGTGGAGCTATGGTTTACAAGTACAGTTGTTGTAAGCATAACAATGATTAAAATCATTGTAATAAATTATTGGCATGCAAAAACAACAGGTTTCAAGCTAAAAACAGCTCTAATAAGTAAGATTACAACATAACAACACTAACCCATGCAGCTGATTTCTAATGAAAACTCCGTGACAGTCCAAACTAAGTCATTCTATGTAAAGGTCAGCCAGAGATGCACAGTCAGTATGACATTTAACATGATCACATTGGGCTCAGCTATTAAAAACACAAGGAGATGTTTCAGGCTCGAAGATGATAACAGTGTTTAGATGACTATTTATTGTGCATATGACCTCTGGATCACCTTAAAGTAACATCAAACAAATATCCCAGCTCATAACAGCACTGTAACATGCACAAGCAGGCGCTTTACTATTCATTGCCATCTTTTTGTGTCAAGCAGCTGTGCTTGCATTAATGTCATATTTAATTGAGCGTCTGTTAGAGGGCGCTGATCAAATCATATGCCCGAAATAACCCGACATCTCATTATCATATCCCTCATGAATTATATCCGAGGACATTTGAATAAAAACACTGAAGTGATGCTGCAGATGTCCGAGCTGTGAATAAACGCACCAAACGTTGTCTGGAAGTTCTGATGTGTGTTATGAACTTCGTTCTGTGCAAATGTGAGGTGTATGTTAAACACACATAATTGTGTTCCGTGAACTCACCCGCAGATTTCGGATGTGGGATGGATGCGCCAATGCGAACGACCAGGAACAAAAATAAAGGCACCATCGCGGGGAAACTTGTGTATTGTGCAGCCTCGATGCGTCCCGTGTTTCAGCTGTGATGCAGATATAATGGCAGAGAGACTCGCAGTGAGGATGTCCGGTGATGCTGTGACTCTGAGCAGTGATGCTGCTGCTGCTGCTTCTTACTGCAGTGATGAAGATGATGATGGAGACTCGACACTGGCAGGATTCACAGCATCAGTGAAGACGCACCCACTGATCCATACACCGTCAGAAAAACACAACTTTCTTTTATAGAGTGCATTGAAATGTTGCTACTTGATATAGGCTACTTAACAAAACCAACAAAAAGAAATGAAACAAAAAAAAAATATAGAAATAGGGGCCCTTATTTGATTTGACTTCCAATATCCCTGACTGCCACGTGCAAATGTAAAATGTTTGAATGTCTCATAAACACACGATCATATTGTATCTTTCTTTTCACGATTATTGTATTACCTGAAAAAAAATTACGTATTAAATCGTAGATAATCATGTCCCCTGGTGTGCTCTAAATTATTACAAAAGGTTTATTTATTACACATATATTATAGCGACTACTTCATATAGCGTATTCATATATTTACAGTATAGATTGATTATGACTTAAAAGTTGTGTGTGTCTGTCGCCCTCTGTAGGCCCAAAGGAGTAAGTAACCGCATTCGACAATGATATTCATTCCTCCTCGAATTAATTGATCATTTTAACCCGATTAATGTGCGTATTTCGCATAGATTGCTTCTAATACTATGACTTGTTATGAAACCGAGAATATATTTTCTAGAATTTCATATTTTAACACAGTTTCTACAGACTGTTACCTCAGTACTGTAAATCTGTGGTAGGCTATTTCGCATAAATTGCCTCTTATACTAAGTCCATAGATTGCTTCTAATACTATGACTTGTTATGAAACCGAGAATATATTTTCTAGAATTTCATATTTTAACAGTTTCTACAGACTGTTACCTCAGTACTGTAAATCTGTGGTAGGCTATTTCGCATAAATTGCCTCTTATACTAAGTAAAACGAATATTCTGATTATCCATGTATAATTATACTCATCTTTAATGATTAAAAACGTATAACTTGTTATGAAACCGAGTAAATTGTTTCTATAAAACAATTTCTAGTTATTTTTTTACCTCAGTACTGCAGATGCGTGATACGTGATGCCACCGCTGCCTTTAAAAATAAATTACATTTAAATACAAATTACATTTAAAAGAAACCATCATATCCATAATTTATTATGATGATTTGGCTGTAGCAACAATAACTTTAGGTGACTATTTGGCAGAAACTTGTTACCATGGTAGTTTTGTTTGTGACGCGGCACAAGATGCGGCGGGCGGGCTCACGCGAGGTGGGAGTGTTTGAGGGGCGCAAGGGCTGCGCGAGGCTTCACAACACAACTCTCAACATGAAACTAGCCAAAGTGAGTGAAACAAAAGTAACGCAAAGCTTCCTTAACATCATCTTTAACATCTCTTCCCAATTTTTTAACACTCCTGCCTCACTGTAAATAAGTCTAAGCGCTCAACTAACCTCAAACGCTGGACTTTTGTGGTGTCAAACTTGGCCAGAACCAAACTAAGCTAACGAGCTAACGCACATAGCCGTCATTTGTATGCAGATTTAACTTTATTCTGTTTTTGTTTAGTCTTATTCTAAGCGAAATGCAGTTCCTTATAATAGATCTGATGTTTATTCCCAGAAAAATAAGATCGTGTTGTGATTACAAAGGCAAAAATGCGCTAGCATCATGTGTAAACAATGATACTTCTAAGGCATATCACAGTATTTGAGTTTTTCTGTGTTCGTCCTTATTTTCAGATTAGGAGAAAAGCGAACAATGAAGACCTGAAGCTGTCTGTCTTGTGTTAGACCCAAACCACCAAAGTGAATTAGAGAAAACTCCTAAAAGGGAACAAAGGTGTAGTTGTGGGTTTTAGGAGGGGAAACCCTCCTGAACATTGTCAGCTTTCATTGTCAACTTCCCTGGGTGACAATGATGGCAACCCATGGTGGCAGCGAGGAGCCTGATCCCTTTTCGGTGGTGACCCGAATGGCTGGGGCAGGAGGAGATGGGACCACGCATTTACCAGCCTGTCGTGGTCAGGGGATACAGATCTCGGACCTGGGCTCAGCTTTGTCCGTCCATACCACGGTTTTACCACCTAAACAGCCTCCTGGGGTCACATATTCTGTATTTGGAAAGGATCCGAGACCTGGAACAGTCATGTTTGCCTCAAAGGCAGGTGGTATTAGTGCTGGACATGTTATATTGGGGTCTTTTTCAGGTGTTGGGAGGGGGATGCCAGATCCTCCACATGAAGGTGCTGTCGGTCGGATACCATCTGCATCGCTGAGTCCTGAGGTGTGCCTGGCGGCCCCTTCGTTTCTTCCACTGGGCATCGTTGAAGAAGGTGATGCTCTGGATGTGCAGGAAATTGGGGAGGATGAGGAAGTTGTTTTAACCCTCACCGCACCACCTCCTAATCAGTGAGTCGTGTAATATGACATCCCAATTTATGCATCCCATGAGTGTTTAAAGGGATAGTTCATTCAAAAATAAAAACAATGGCTGAGAATTAGCTCACCCTTAGGCCATAGAAGATGCAGGTGAGTTCATCGAAACTGATTTAGAGAAGTTTATCATTACATCACTTGCTCACCAATTGATCCTCTGCAATGAATGGGTGCCGTCAGAATGAGAGTCCAAACAGCTGATAAAAACATCACAGTAATCCACACGACTTCCTCAATTATCATCTCATGAAGTGAGCTGTGTGTTTGTAAGAAACAAATCCATCATTAAAGTTTTACATTTTAACTGTTGCTTCTTTCCAAAATACAAGTCCATAATCCATAATAACGCTTCATAATAAAGTTCATCCTCTGTTGTCCTCTCACATCAAAATCCACCAACATATTTGTTTAGAACTATTTTTGGCTGTTTTTGCTTGTAAATGGTGCTTGATCTGTGCATATTTCTCTCCTGATTCAGGCGAGACTTTTTTACTGGAGAAAGCAATATTATGGATAGAGGATAGGTGTTAAAAATGTCTTGATGGATTTGTTTCTCACAAACACGCAACTTTTCTCTTCACAAGATGTTAATTGATGGACTGGAGTGGTGTGGATTATTTGTGGATTATTGTGATGTTTTTATCAGCTGTTTGGACTCTCGTTCTGACGGCACCCATTCACTGCAGAGGATCCATTCGTGAGCAAGTGATGTAATGCTAAATTTCTCTGCATCTGTTTTAATAATGAAACTCATCTACATCTTGCATGGAGTCAGGTTTTAGTAAATTTTCATTTTTTGGTGAAGTATTCCTTTAAATTTGAACTGTGATGAAAATAATAAAAGATTTGTAATGGAGTTTGTAATTCGACAGGTGGTATCATGGGAAGCTGGACCGGATGATCGCAGAGGAGCGTTTGCTTCAGGCCAGGACGGCTGGCAGCTACCTTATCAGGGAGAGTGACCGCCGACCCGGCTCATTTGTGTTGTCTTTCCTTAGCATGACCAACACAGTCAGTCATTTCAGGTGTTTGTTTGTCTGTTATCTTTCTCTGCAGCTTTAGACCCAACCACATCTTTAAATAGAACTAATCACTAATGGTCATGGCACATCTTTATTTGCAATGTGCTTACATTTTAATCTGCAAGGTTTTGGGCCTAGATAATGAGATGGTATCTGTGACCTGAGTAATGAATGTTTGCAGGATCATCGCCATGTGTGGAGACTACTACATTGGAGGCCGTCGTTTCTCCTCTCTGTCGGATCTGATTGGTTATTACAGTTACGTGTCCTGTCTGCTGAAAGGAGAGAAGTTGATATCACCAGTCGCCCCTCCAGAGGTAGACATTCAGTGTAATATTTATTAGCAGAAAAATTGTCATTTTCACAGTATATTTAAAAAAACAACAACAATGTTTTGTTTTGTAAGCCTGTTGAAGACCGCAGGAGGGTGCGAGCAATTCTCCCATACACCAAAGTGTCTGAAACTGATGAGATCAGGTAATTTGATTTTGTGTTACTTTCAAAAATATACTATATATAATATATAAAGTTGGGGGTCAGAAAGTTTTTTTTTTTTTTTAAAGAAATGAATACTTTTATTCAGCAAGGACACTTCATATTGATCAAAAGTGACAGTATAGACATTTATAATGTAATGAAAGATTTATATTTCAAATTAATGCTGTTCTTTCTATTCATAAAAGAAAAACAATGTATTAAGGTTTCCACAAAAATATTAAGCAGCACAACTGTTGTTGTTTTTTTTCTATTGATAATAAGAAATGTTTCTTCGGCATATTAGAATGATTTCTGAAAGATCATGTTACACTGAAGACTGGAGTAATGATGCTGAAAATTCAGCTTTGTCATCATCATAGGAATAAATTACATGTTAAAGTATGTTCAGAAAGTTTACGTAATTAGACTTCTTGTGCTCACAGTTTCTTCAAAGGCGACACATTTATAGTCCATAATGAACTGGAGGATGGCTGGTTGTGGGTGACTAATGTCCGAACAGATGAGCAGGGTCTTATAGTCCAAGACCTGGTGAAGGAAGTGGTGAGTAGAAACACTGTTTAGAATAAACGAAAAATAAACACATGTCTGTAACTGGATGAATATGTATATATACAGTATTATGACAGGGTGTCCTATATTGACACATTCACAGGGACGTGAAGAAGACCCACATGAGGGGAAAGCGTGAGTTTGATTATTTTGTTTCGATTCCTGGTTGAGTGGTGTTAGTTTCCAGTAGTAATACAAACTATACACTGCATAAAATGAATAGAAATACATGATGATTTTCATGCCTCATCTCTTAAGATCTGCTCAACATCATCTGTATTTTTCAGCTGGTTTCATGGCAAGATCAACAAGCAAGAGGCTTACAACCTACTGATGACAGGTCAGTCAGAAAAAATGTTTAAAAGCAATAAACCGCGAAGGGTTACACCTGTTTAACTCCTGTAATCGCTTTCCCCAGTTGGGCAGGTGGGCAGTTTTTTAGTGCGCCCGTCTGACAGCACACCTGGGGACTATTCGCTGTACTTCCGCACCACTGAGACCATCCAGCGCTTCAAAATCAGCCCCACACCCAGCAACCAGTTTATGATGGGAGGCCGATACTACAACAGGTAAATGTGATTTGGGAGCATTTTATGACTTTTGGAATGGATAAATTTGAGTTTCATGATACATATTGCTTGTGTTTTCTTGCTTTTGTTTGTACAGTATTGATGACATCATTGAACACTACAGGAAGGAACAGATAGTTGAGAGCCACAACCTTAAAGATGCTTTATCTGTCCAAGTATGTGCAACAACTATTTTTCGAAAACTCTTATTGATGTTATTGTGTGAATGATTTGAAATGTGTGATTTCATCAGCACCAGGAGCAGGTGCTTACTGACACCGTCGAAGGCAAAGAAATCTACAACACCATCCGTAGAAAGACCAAGGACGCTTTCTATAAAAACATTGTGAAGAAAGGATATGTCCTGTTCAATAAAGGTATTGCCAACGTTTCAGTGTAGTTTTACATTGAAGACATTATCAAAATCATTTTAGTAAGATATTAGTCTTGTGTCTTTTATAGGAAAAGGAAAAAGATGGAAAAATCTATATTTCATCCTTGAGGGAAACGATTCCCAGCTGATCTACTTTGAGAGTGAGAAACGAGCAACTAAACCAAAGGGTTTAATCGACTTGAGTGTGTGTTCTGTGTACGAGGTCCATGACAGCATGTTTGGCAGGTTTGTTTCCCCACTGTATTATGCACTGATAATAGTTCAACTTTAGGTTCGATTGAAATACATTTAGCTATTTTTTTTTTCTTTTTCTGCAGGCCAAACTGTTTCCAGATAGTTGTACAGCACTTTAGCGAGGAGCAGTGTATCTTTTACTTTGCTGGAGAGACCCCGGAACAAGCTCAGGTACCGATGTCTTCATTAGCAATGCTGGCTAATACACTTTCATCAGAGTAACACTGTGTCCAAATGATATATTTTCTGTCTTGATTTTAACATATGAAATACTGCATTTGTCAATCCCAAAGGGAAATTTCATACATCCCAAATCCAGCTCCAAATACACCACTTTTCAAAAGTTTTGGGTCAGTTAGATTTGTATTTTTATTATTATATTATATTCAGCTAGGAAGCATTACATTGATCAAAATGACAGTAAAGACTTTTACATTGTAAAATGATCTTTTCATATACATTTTGTTTCCAACATTGATGAAAATACAAAATGTTTCTTGAGCAGCAAATCAGCATATTAGAATGATTTCTGAAGGATCATGTGACACTGAAGACTGTAGTAATGATGCTGGAAATTCAGCTTTACCATAATAGGAATTCATTATATTTTGAAATATATTAACATAGAAAACTGTTCTTTCGAATTGTACTAAATTATATTTCATAATATTACTTTTATTACTGTATTTTTATCAAATAATTGCAGCTTTGGGGAGCATAAAGGACTTCTTTCAAAAATATTACAATATCTTACCGAAACCCAAACTTTTGAACAGACGTGTGTATAGATTTAAAAATAATATTATGATCTGTTTGGCTGTAATATTGTCATGCAGCTGTGAGGATAGAAAAATTGCCTTTGTAGAACACTGTTAATATAATTCTGTTCAATTTATTCTTGTTCACTTCTTACACCCTTCAATTGCGTAGGACTGGATGAAATGTCTGCAAACCTTTTGTAGTAACCTTAGGAAACCCAGCCAGCCCTGCTCAAACAAACGCCTGCGTCAGGTAAACTCTCAGTTGCTTCCTGTTGTTTAATGTCATATGAATTACAGCTGTTACTCCTCATGTGTTACATGTATCTTTACAGGTCAGTAGTTTATTTCTGAATGTTGAGGAGGCTCACCACCTTCCTAGTAAACATTTCACAAACGCCTACTGCAACATTTACCTGAACAGCATTCAGGTAGCCAAAACCCATCCGCGGGAGGGCCAGAATCCTGTGTGGACAGAGGAGTTCATTTTCGAGTAAGCCACTTCCTCAGATATTGATAGTAATTCTATAAAATCGAACGTTTTTTATTAATGTTTCCCAATATTCCTGCAGTGACTTATCCAGTGAAATCAACAGGTTTGAGATCAGCCTGAGCAACAAGACAAAAAAAAGCAAGGAGAATGATATTTGTACGTTCTTTCTTATTACTTCATGCTCAGACTTTCAAAACGGTATCGTATAAGGAATAATGTACGCTCTTCTCCTGCAGTGTTCATGTGCTGCCCTCTGTGTCGGCTACAAAGGGGTCAGATGATTGACGAGTGGTTTCCTCTGAGTTCCCACGTGCCTCTGAAGAACGTGGCGCCCAGCTCACTCCGGCTGAGAGTGCGCTACTCTGTGGAGAAGATCATGCCCGTGGAGGTGTACAACGAGTTGAAAGAGGTTGGGTACATACATGAGTTGATATATAAACAGGGTCAACATTTAACTCAAATTCAGTTAGTGGACAGTTGGCTAGTAACTGTCCTAGAATTTACAATGCATTTCAGTCACAATATAAGAACATTAGTCTGAGCCCTGCTGATGATTTGTATTGAAAAAATAAATGCTGACACAAGAAACTAAGGAATCAATGCAATGTTGCGACAAAAAAAATCTGTATATTATTTTATTTTATGATATTGATTATTCAATGCAAGTTTTTTCGCCCATTTTATTGTCCGCCATATAAAAGTAAAAAAAATAAAAGCCACATGATTTAAGGTATCACTGATCATCCTGTCATATCTTGAAGTCAAGTAATGCACTACCTATAATTTCCCACAGAATTTCCCTCAGAAATATGTCATTTTATTATGAAAGCCTATTTCTGCCATGGAATAAAAAAGAAAACGGAAATTGTGACTTTTTATCTTACAATTCTGTCTTTTCTCTTGCAATTCTAAAAAATAAAAAACAGACTTGCAAGATACTGGTTAAACTCAGAATTGCGAGTTAACATCATTGCGAAATATGAATTTGTATATGCAAGGAAAAAAAATCATTTTATTTATTTTTAGAAAAAAAGCCACAATTACAGTTTTTATTTTTTATTTTTTTTTGGTGTAAACAAAAAAACTTTGTCACACTTGAAAAATGTAAACTCAGAATTCTGAGAAAATTTTGTTTTTGAAAATACAGAGTAATGGCCAGTGAGAAATATTTCTGGCAGTTGAGACCATTGTTATTTTAGTTCATTGCTTATTATTTATATATTGCTAAAGTATTTTATTAAACATTTTTTAGAATTATATTTTTATATTTTCAGGTTCTGCTGAAAGAGTTGCACGTGATCAGTGCTTTGGCCCACGTGTGTGGACAGGACCGCACTCTCCTGGCCAGCGTTCTGCTCAGGATATTTAGACACGAGAACCTGGAGGCCCAGCTGCTCAGAGAGCTCAATGACCGTGAGATCAGCGCTGAAGGTACTTCTTTTATTCCTCTTCTTATGCTGCATGACTGAATTCATCAGAATTATTCACAGAGTTGCTTGTTTTTCCAGATGAAGCGACGACTCTTTTTCGTGCCACCACTCTGGCCAGTACTCTGATGGAGCAGTACATGAAAGCTACAGCCACTCCATTCGTGCATCACGCTCTTAAAGACACCATCCTCAAGATTATGGAGTCTAGACAGTCCTGTGAGGTATTTCTCCGATTTTTTTATGTTAACCAAAATCGCATAGAGATCATCATGCTTAAATATCCATATCCTCCTTTTGTAGCACTTTTTTTCCCACTGAGGTCCTCTAATAATGTTAGTTAAGGTTTCTTGCACTAAAAACTATGGAGTTAAAAAAAACTATGGACTAAAAACTGACATTTTATCTCACAATTCTGAAATTTTTTCCCTTGCAATTCTGAGTTTATATCTCACAATTCAGTTTTTTCCCCCCATGTAATTCTGAGAAGAAAAGTCTGTATTGTGGGATACAAACTCGAAATTGTGGAAAAAAGTAAGAATTGTGATTGTGAAAACAGTCTCAATTACCTTTATTTTTTATTTCGTGGCAGAAGCAAAACCAGAATTGCGACATATAAAGTCAGAATTAAGAGAAAAAAGATGATATGTAAACTCGGAAATTAAGAGAAAGGAGGTCAGAAATCTGAGTTTGTCTCAATTCTGAATTGCAAGGGAAAAAATCTGAATTGTGAGATAAAAAATAATACTGTTCATAATGTAAACTCAGAGGTTAAAAAAGTGAATTGTGAGATTAAAAAAAAATGTCCTTTTTCATTTTTTTTATTCTGTGGTGGAAACAGTCTTCCATAAAAAACAATAATTTAATTATTATGATTAATTCGTATGTTATATCACAATTATTTAATTACATTTAATTATTAATTAGATATTGACATCCTCTCTTTAACACTTCGAATTAACAGAATCTTTAATATTTCAAAAATCTAAATTACCTATTATGATTTATGACTGGCTAACGTGTTTGCATGTCAAATTATGTTATCAAAAAGCTTCAGAAATGAATGAACCCTTTAAAGCTGATGCATCTTAGTTCAATCTTGTAGATCAATCATTTGCCTGCTAAACATGTTGTTTCCGCTGTAAATTAGCTCAATCCATCTAAACTGGAGAAGAATGAGGATGTGAATGTGAATCTCGCTCATCTCCTGAGTATTGTGTCTGAGCTGGTGGAGAAAATATTCATGGCTGCTGAAATCCTCCCTCCGTGAGTCACTGTGTATATAAATATACTTCTGCCAATAAACTCTGTGATCAGAGCAAGGATATAATGTGAGAGAATGGAGTTTTATACATGTTGATTCCTTTTTCGCAGGACTCTCAGGTTCATATATGGATGTTTACAGAAAGCTGTACAGCAGAAGTGGCCCAGAAACACAACCATGAGAACTAGAGTTGTAAGGTATGGAAATATGTTTTGTTGGAGGACAAAATTTGATTTAATAATAAAATAATGCATTTAATGCAGTTAAAAATCTTACATTATATTAATTAGTACAAATGAAAACAAACCAGACCAGACATTATGTTTGATGTATGCAGTTTAGCATCAATATAAAGTATGCTACAGTCCAGTCTATTCAAGAGACAAATAAGGTCATTAGAAAGCTTAAATCTGAAAAGGTGACTCTCAGGTTTCAACATTTGGGAAACAGTGATGCTCTAAACTTTGTTGTTTTCAGTGATGCTTCCCTTGGAAATCTCCCTGATGGGGGCACACAGGGGGGGACATTGATTGGTCTCATGGGAGAAGGAGGGAAGTTTTCTCCTCTCTGTTGGCAATCTAAGAAAATCAGACGTGTGGTGAGGAGTACTCTGGCAGGGGAAACTCTGGCCCTGTCAGATGGAATAGATAATGCCATTTTTCTGACTACTCTCTTTTCTGAACTTACTACTGGAACTGCTGAGCTGAATACTCCTCCGTTGATCTGTGTGACAGACAACCACTCTCTGTTTGATGCCCTTAAGTCAACAAAACAGGTCTCTGAGAAACGTCTTCGACTGGAAATAAGCAGCATAAAGGAGCTCATACAGAGTAAAAGAATCAAGAAGGTACTCTGGTCGGACACAAAAACTCAACTCGCTGACTGTCTTACAAAAAAAGGAGCGTCAGCCCTGATGTTATTGAAAGTACTCAGTGAAGGACTATGGTGCTATTGAAAGCACTTAGTTAAGGACTGGGGACACTTGTTAATAAAAAAAAAAAAAAAAGAGAGTAAAGAGGTTCATTTGAAAAAAAACGATACTTTCAATAGGATATACAACAATTTTTTTTTGGTAACTAATCTTTGTTTTGTATGTTTTTTTTTTATTTATATTTTCTTTGTAAAGTATAGGGAGATTGTTAACATGTTATTTCCTCCCTACTCTGTTCACATGGAAGAAGGTTCTTCCGGGTTAAAAATAAGGTTAGCGCAGGCACTGGTTCAAAGGTGAGCGCGCGGGTGAAAAGGGGGCGTTTGTTGTAGAGGGACAGTGTTGAACCGTGTTGCTTATGTGAGCGAGGTGATGGAAGGAATAAAGTGCGTTAACTGAGTAAACGTCGTGTTTATTTAATTTAACAGTATCAACAGCTATATAATAAAATGTTTTACATAAGTATTTTTTTTTTCTTTTCCAGTGGATTTGTCTTCCTCAGATTGATCTGTCCTGCTATTGTCAACCCCAGAATTTTTAACATCATTGCAGGTGAGCTGTGATTGGGCAATTCAAATTGTTCCGTTTTTATTAAATAGGCATCAGACTTTAAATATAGAAATGTATAAATCTTTTATATCAACTTCTTGGACAAACCTTATCTAAGTTCTCATCTTGCCCACTGATCTACGTTCATCTTTATATAGATCAGTGAATTTGCCATTGTGATGTCATCTAGTGACATTTAGCTACCAATTTTAGCTACTTTCAATTGAAAGCAGTTGGCAACACTGAGTCGATAGCCAGGAGCAGGGTTGGGCACCCCTGCTTTAAAGACTTCTCTGGTTCTATAATTGTTGCTTTCTTTAAATATTACATTTTGTCCCATCTCAGGAGCTGTACATGGAAGGAGTAAATCCATTCATCAAGAACAACAAACACAGAATGATCAAATTTTTGGGCGAACTTGGGGTTTGTCAACTTCTCTAAAACTCGTTTTACTGCAAATATTGCTGAAAAAATGTGGTGTAGTAATAATTACAGCGAAACAGCAAGTAACACATTGAATTAAACAAAGTTTTTTTTTTTTTAAGTAGAGCGACTGAATTAGTATTTTCTTCTTTTGAATAGTATATTTTTTTACAACTTCAAAAAAATGATTTTTACTGTGTAACTCAGTCTTATAAGAAAGAAATTAGATGTCCTCCAGGGGGCGCAAATGCTTCATTATCCACATTTTTTAACACAGAAATACTCAGCGATGAGTTAAAATGGTCAAATGTATTTATTTATTTTCCAGATAACCACAATGATTAAGTCATATTCACATGCCCTGTGCCATATGTCTAGTGTGTCTTTACTATTTAAATGCATTTGCTCTTTTCAGAATGTCCCAGTGCTGCCTGAACCCACAGAGCACTTTAACACTGACCTGGCCCGTGACCTCGCTGCCCTACACCAGCTCTGTGTCACGCACTTAGATGAGCTGAGGATACTCAGTAATGAGAGGGGCGCGCAGCAGGTACCATTATAACTTAATAAAATGTTTAATGATGATAGCCAGTACTTGGGTGAAATTGTTCTGTTTCTCTCACAGCACATCTTGAAAAAACTCTTGGCAGTCACTGAACTTCTGCAGCAGACCCAAACTCAGTATGCAGTGACCAACAGCAGCCGATAGACTGCAGGATTTCACTCTGCTACACACTTTAAAAGCTTTTATGTGTCGGTTCTGTGACATTATAAACCACTTTTGATCATAGTCGTCACATTAGACAGACAAGGCAGTGAGTGAATGTTTGTTTACCTGCACTCCCTTATTTACAGGATGTGTTTTCATAAAGAGGAAAAAAAATTATGAAGCAGAAGAAACGTTCCACAGTTGTCTTGAAAAGGACGGTGATGTTTTCCAGGTGACAGAAGTGATGTTGTCCAGATTCATAACTACTGTTTGCGCTCTGCAATGTCAAACACTATTACAGTTTTTCCTCTGAAAACAAACCAAAACCACATTTTACTACAAAATCTGATGCTTGACAAGTGGAGAAGGATGAAAAAAAAGCATGTAAACTAACCGATGCTGCGAAAAACATGCCTTGGAAGACCAAATATGTTTTATAAATTTACACTCTGTCTGGTTTGTTTTCTTTTTAAATGTTGTGCTTGAGCAGGCGATCAAGAGAAAACATATTTATATCTGATTTTATATATATATGTCCAATATAGGAACTACCAAGAAATGCAGAAGAAGGTATTTTGTATCAAAACTATTTTCATATTTGGAATCACAAAATTGAAAATAATGCTTTTTGCTTTTGATTTTTTTCTAAAATGATTTCCTGACAATATGCATAAAGATGTGAGTGAGATTACGCTATCGGGGTATGCATGCACTTATTTAATACGTTCTTGTAAAAATACAGTGATTATGTTTTCTAATATATATGCAAATAAATCAAAGGAATTTTGTCATTTGTTTGTCAGTTTGATTTCTATGAATTTCTTACCATTTTTTTTGTTTTTGGTATTTAGTGTCCTTTTAATATGTTGTATTTAAGGTGGTGATCTTACCTCCCAGGAATAAATCTGAATATTCAGATTAAAGTCCCATCTTTTTATATATATATATATATATATAGTTACACAACACAACCTTTAAAATCGAAACAGATTTTAAAACAATAGGCATCATACACAATATAAATGGTTAAGACAAGGCACGTGACAAATGAAATTAATGTGTTCTAAAATCGCGTCAAAATATAATACGTCATTCTGAAGCTTTAAAAAAAAATCTGCAGACTGGCCATCGAATTTTGGCAAAACTCGTGTAGTGTACTCCAGCCTTAAGATCATAAAAATGTATACATTTTAGGTAATAACATATTATATATATATATAAATTATCTTTAATGTATTTACAAAACAAACAAAAACAATAATAAATAATGTTCACAATTTTACCTCTAGATGGCATCATTGTACTTCATTCACCGAATCAATGACTGTCGAAAATGAGTCCTCTGTGCCTTACAAGGAATTCAAAGATGTGCTATTTTAATTTTTGCTTTTATAAAGCGTTCACAATAAAACATAATTACATCACTGAAATGTAATATACAAACATATTTTAAAAAACGCAAATTCTTTAGATATAGTCCCAGACATTAACGTTAATATCACACATCTATTAGCGCTGCGCAGTGATACACACCGTAACTATACGAAAAGGTTTTTTTTTTTTCGTCCAGGTGTTTTAACGTGACGGAACTGTAACTATCTGTTTTTAAAACATTGTTAGCTGTAGATAAACGCGTTTATTCACACACACTTCTATGACCTTATTTTCATTCTGTAATCACGATATTTCTTCGCGTTCAAACCATAGACTGTAAAATAAAATAAAAACAGGCCCTGCGTTAGCAGACAGAGGTGAGTGATTTAATTGTCCTGTGACGAGGCTCAATAGAGATTACAAGCACCCACCGACAGCACAGTTGGTCAGCAGAAAGGACTCTATATGCTTCGTATTCCTGCCTCAGCTTTCTCTTTATTTTCCTCTTTCAAAAGGCCCAAATAGAGCCCAGCAGGTTCGAGTAAAGAGACCTGAAAGAACGTCTTCCTACTAATATTTCAGCCAGGGAACAGACGATTAACATTTTTTCCCAAGCAATGATTAAATCGATGTCAGCGCAACTAAAATCAACACAAGATCAAATGAAAAGAGCAGAAAATGATAATCAGCATATCATACTGTTTTGACAATATAAATTACAAATGAGAAGACGTTATCCTACACGTTATCCAGGGATCATTTCAAAATGGAATATTGTACATTTCCATTGGATAGGTAAGTTGATAATGTAGTAGATGATAAATGTAGATGCATTTACGCAATTTGTGTGTGGTCAGGCAGAGTATGAAAACTGCAGCAAAGGAAATTTGATCAATAACTATAATGATTGATGGAATGTGGAAATGCAACATGTCTATAAATATCTTTAGCCCGTGACCTCGTGCCCAGTGGACTTCATATGTCAGACCCCGTGCCCTTAACCACTCTACTGGTTTTGTGAACTAAAGGAGGACAAGGTTTATTTTCAATTATGGGTTTCGGCCCCTCTGACACAAACCATTTAACCCCTGACCTCCCTTAGGGCAGCCGGACTGCCTACCGCTGGGCCGAGCGTTACTGCCACCTTGTAATCCATACGCTCTGAATGACCAAAGTACCGCGAGCAGCTGCCCTCTCACTCCACGCACTAACAACCTGCCTAATCCATTGAAGTCAAAACCAACAGACCTGCCCTCCACTTCAGGGGACTAGTTATTGAACCCTTTCTGAGTTTACAACGACCCGCTGGCTGTGCCTGCGTTTTTCACAAAGTAATACAGAACTGACTTAGTTATGGATTGTTTGTTCTATAACGGAAAAAACATGCAATTTTATTACGCCTAATCCATTGAAGTCAAAACCAACAGACCTGCCCTCCACTTCAGGGGACTAGTTATTGAACCCTTTCTGAGTTTACAACGACCCGCTGGCTGTGCCTGCGTTTTTCACAAAGGAATACAGAACTTACTTAATTACGGATTGTTTGTTCTATAACGGAAAAAACATAAAATTTTATTATAGTAGATTGACACTTTGAATTGGTAAATACACATGCAAACTATTTTTAAGTATAACATTTGGTGTGGGCAATTTAACAGTGGTCAAAATGGATGGATTCTGGGTAAAGCAGTGCATTGTGGTTCATTTTGAGAGCACACTTCCCACAGGAGCTGGAATTACCTTAGAACAAGCAGGATTTTAGGACTCTGGGAACATAATAGTGACACTGTCGTCAGCCATTCAATGCATAATTATTGCTCACAGATGGTTTTAACAATATGTTAAAATTTGCATTTTAGGGAGACAGCCATGGGGGACACTCGTTTCTCACGGAGTCACACATTTATTGTCTGTAATTCTTGCTGACATTACAATTTTTTTATATTATTTAGAAAATTATTAAATTTAAATTTTGTGACTTTAGCTTAGTTTTGCGATTAATTAATCATGCATTCAATTTTTATAAATAAACAAAAACAAAAAAAAGTTTGTAAGAAAATAAATGAGCTAATTTTTCGAATAATTATTTTATATATATATATATATATATTTATTTATTTAACAAATATTATTTGGCAAAGTAAATTATTTATGTTTGTTTATTTATATTGCCTATTTATTTTTATTTTGTTAACTGGACTTCGAAAAAAAAAACAAAGCATTGAAAATATTTGAAAATAAACGTGCACATATGTGCACAACTTGTTTTTTTCGTCAGATTTGGAATGGGTTAAACTTTTAGATTATTACAGAATATATCTTTGACTAATATATAAAACTAGACGCAAAATGTTTATTTTACCATTGTCATTGTCACTGACGTGTGTCGTGGTCATGAACAAGGCCGGCTGGTCAGCAGGTCAAACCAATAGTTGACCAAGTGGACTTCAGTGACTGTGAGCTGTGGTCACTTCACTTCTGTGGTCCACTGGTGCCCTGGACCTGCAAAATGAAGACACTCACCAGACCTCACTTGACCTGCTTCATTGTCTGTCCATATGGACATGCCAAAAGCATGTTGTCCTGGGGTCAGAGGGGAAGTGGACGACACATATTTATAGGCCCCTGTAGACTTATATGACATTAAATGATTGGTATTTGAAATCTAAAAGGGTGAAGTGAATTTACTTGGATTTGAACATTGAACTGCGACTCAAAGACATTTTTACATGTCTTTAAAACGTTACAAGTCCATTAAAATGTTCATCACAAAAAAAAGTTATTCTAAAAATGCTCATATTGTGTGTGTGTGTGTGCATGTTTGTGTGTTAGCGACTGTGCACCAGACAGCAACAGAAACCGCCCCTGAGTAATGAATATAGTTGTAAAAGAAAGGCTTTGTCTCAAACCGGCCCTGTTGGGATGAAGCATTGTCGCTGGCTGACCTTTTGGGTCAGTGCGAACTCTCCCAGTAGCAGGAAGCTGACGGACCACTTTTTCCCACGCGTTGTAAAGCTCTTTGTCCCATGCAGAGAGCTGCCATTAACGTTTGAACCTTCCCTTTTGGGCTGCTGCAGTCAGCCACTGGGTCGCAGGGCGTCTCCCCGGTACGTTAGATAAAAACCCACCAATAGCTCCCTTGAAAACATGGATAATAAGGATCAGCTAAGCTAACTGTGACAGCGTGGGCCAATTTTCCGGCCTGCTGAGTCTGTAAGGGGTTTTTCTGGAACACACGACTGGAGCCGAGGAGTTTTCAATGGAGTGTTTGTGTGAGAGGGAATGACAAACGGAGTTCAGTGCGAGAGTTTGGGGGGGGAAAAACGAGGGATAGATAGATAGATAGATAGATAGATAGATGATAGACTGAATGACATATAGATATACTGAACAAAATTATAAACGCAACACTTTTGTTTTTGCCCCCATTTTTCATGAGCTGAACTCAAAGATCTAAGACTTTTTCTATGTACACAAAAGGCCTATTTCTCTCAAATATTGTTCACAAATCTGTCTAAATCTGTGTTAGTGAGCACTTCTCCTTTGCCAAGATAATCCATCCACCTCACAGGTGAGGCATATCAAGATGCTGATTAGACAACATGATTATTCTACGCTAGCCCTAG